GGCCAATAACGCCTCAAGTTGACACAGATGGGGTGGCGGGGGTCGATTGAAATATGTGAACCAGAGAGAGGGAAGATGGATCTTACAGGGCAAGAGAGAGACTGGGGTAAGACCTAGGGAAGGAGGACTGCGTAACAATATGGCAGACTCCAATCAACCATTCCTAGCACAAGGATGAAGGGAGGTGAGAAGGCCAGCGTGGAGTGCGGAGAGTTTTCATGAAAGGCGCTAAAAAAAGGGCACACCGACCACATTTAATTAAACAAGTAAAATATTGTGACAGTGAGGGCGTGATTGGAGGATATGGGAAATGTGAATAGGCCTGGGCACAATAGGAGATACCATAATTGTTTAGCACACGTTTGGTCAAAGGATCGGCTCCACTTGTCTTTTTGATGAGTTGTAATATGGTGCGACGAATGCTAAAACTCACTGACGATGCCGACTACGATTCCGACGAAGCGTCTGGAAATGTAACACGTTCACGATCCGACTTTGGAAATAATTATGCATACAATGGACTCAGGACAACGTGCTTTTCTATAAGTCTTCCTATCAATATGACCAAGTTGCAAAAACAAGGTCAAACAACTTCTATACAGCGAAAGTAGACTGCGACCACACAAAAGGTCACACCATCATGGTCTTAATATCTTCGATCAAACTTTATTTATTTTTTATCAAATATAATTAGTTGGTCAGCATTGTAGAGTATTACCGCAGCATGGTTATCTCTTGGAGACGGCTATTTATATCTAAACCAAATTTTTTCCTCGATTTTATTAGCCATGTCTAAAATTGAATCAGCAAAAATGAACGATAGAATACTTGATTCGTGTTCGTGGGAATTAGAGTTTTACTACTAATCCTCATTTATATCGTTGTGTTCATCTCGTCTATTCGAATAGATCACCTACTCGTTGGGATTGTTATTATTTATGGTTGACCTTTAAGCAATAGTCAGTATCACTATTTTGACCCATTCATATTGGTCTATTCTCTATCTATCTATTGACGAATATTAGATAGTCACCTATTTCAAATCATTATATTAAACAATTTTAATTGCACTTTTTCTACTACTCTCAAACAGGGGTCGGTTTCACCATCATCTCTCATCTCGTCGTTAGCTTCTAGCAAACCAATTTGCACTGCAAGCGCCAATACTTGTCCCGATCAACATGGCAACACCGAGTCAGCAACATCGGCAGTTGACAGTGGCCTCTCAACGCCACCTGTCTACGACTTGGCCCTTACATCCACGGATCGCAGCTTAGCCGAGTCTCTGCTCCCCTCCGGAAGGCCTGCGAAATCTCCGACGGCTTCTTCAACCACGGCTACGGCAATGACGATGGTGACCAAAATCGGTGACAGCTGTCCTGATGCTCAGGTCCATGCATTTTCGACAAATAGTTCGGCCCACCTCTGCTTATCGCATGATTCTTTGCTGGGTAACTTCACGCAACCCACTTCTGTCGCTGCTATCACCATGGCGACGACCACTGAAGTTACTCGGGCTCCTATCAAAGATACCTTTCACTTGACGCCTACATCTTCAGACGCCAGTGAGAAGGCCGCCGGTTCTGCTCAGCTGGTGGCAGCGGTTGCACCTTTTGGAGACTATGACAGTGGTCTGGGCGTCTCGAGTCCAGTTAGCAGAAAGCTTCCGGCACTCCAGTGTGTTCATTTGAAGGGGCCTACAGTAGCTGTAACTACTAAAAGCCTAAATTCGGATGCTGAACACCGCGAGGCGCGAACTAACGAACAGGACCGATTAGAGTCTTGCTGTCATCCCGAATTGGCTGCTCATGTAGGTCATGCTATAGCATCGACTCGAGGCACCCGCAAGGCGCAAAAGGCCTCGACAAGCAGCTTTGTTTCTAAGGCCTCCAGTGTTGGATCATGTCTGGAATGGACTGGTGGTGATGGCTTTGGATTGGAGATAGTCGATGAAGGGCGAATAACTAAGGATGCTGGAGTCGCGGTGGAATTTTTTCCAAAGCGAATGCAGAAGGGCGAAACAGGGCGTATTTTGGATGAGAATCGATCTGCAAGCGGTGTTAAGTCTAGGTAAATGTAAATTTGTATTTTGCTAGTGAGATTCTATCTAACTACTATGGTCTCCACTTTATTAGGTGTTTTATTTGGTATGAGCTTACTCATTCAAGGTCGCTTAAGGTGATTTAAAGACTGCTATCTCATCCAGGGTGGACTGCAGTTCCGACCTCATCTAGGTCTCAATCGCAAAATCATCGCTAAATTTGTAAATCCGTATCCTTTCATGCCATTGCTTTTCACTCGATTCTTTTATCCATACTCGCACTCGGTCGTAGCTCACCTGGCTTTAAATACAAATTTCTTCGTGATGGCGCTTTCCTTTTTCCGACTATCTTGAGCAGCCATACATCATAGCACATTACCCGAGCTTATTCTTTTGGGTCGGATCACAACATATTCATCTTGTCTGCCAATTTCAAATGAACATTTTTCTTGCTTAACTTGGATATATCTATTTGCTTTCATGTTATCCTTAAAGTTCTTTTTCATTCCTGTGTCAATTGCTCTAAGAGTTTTATAGGATTTCAGCTTCTTAATGATAACTATATATCTGACTCGTTTTACTTCATTATTTTGTCTCCGAGCCTATCTGACATCCTGGTTAATAGACATCTTTTGTAATCATGCAGGAGATCGCCGATGGGTTTTACTTTTTTATACTAATAATCTTTTTGTTTCCTGATAAAGCCAGCAATTACGATCTCTCTGATCAATTTTCTTTTAATTTTAACAGACAACTTTGTGCCAGACTCCACACGATCGGAGTAGCAGTAGGGTCCCACTCAGGTAATTC